GTATCTGATTCAGTATCTACAGATAATAATATAGCCCCAAAATAAATTAGAAAAACAAGGTAGAATACTTACAAATCTGACTGAATTTGAAAAAAACTTCTTACACCAAAGTTAGATCATTGGTTGGAGCTTATCTATAAATTGCTTGGTGAAATATAATTGAGAAAGTGAACAAGTCAAAGACAATATGATTGACTGTATGCACAATTTAAGTAAAACAATATGTATGAAACAATGAGCATATCAGTCAAAGAAAAATATCAAATTTCCACTTAATATTACTTGTTGCGAAAATTAATATATTTAACTGATCGGAAACTTCCCAAAAAGGCATTCTCTATTTTATTATTATTTTTTTAAATGAAATAATCAGTTGGATTCTTTTTATTTTATTGTTTTGGTTTTTGGTGGCACTATTGCAAAGCCCACCAATTCTGGAAAATAATTTATAATAAAATGAAACTAATTTTAAAGATGGATTTTTTTCTTCCAGACTATTTTTACTTATACATTACAAAATCTTATATTCTCATAAAATATACTGGATTGAATTTTTTATAGCTACTAGAATTCTCTACGCTCTCAGTGGATATTATAAACAAGAAGAATGGCAAAGTAAGTTACAGGAATATGTTTTCATGTCAAAATTTATATCAAAAAAGCAAATCTGATACAAAATTTAATGGAATGGGCAATCGTATTTTTGGATTATAATCTTGTAAATGGGTTTGTACCAAAGTTTGATTTCTCTTTAAGATAAAATGGTAATTTCATTGTCATTTGCTAAATTTGCCAAGTTTTTTAGAAAGAAATCATTGCAATTTCTTTGCTTCAGTTTATAATTCATAATTTCAACCATATGGCTGAAGTTGTTAACTATTGCATAAGAACCCAATATCTATATTTAACTAATTTTAATAGTGATATAAACTTTCAAATTGATATATGAGGTTGGCCAGATCAGGAAACAGAGTCTACAAAAATGAGTGGAACTTTATTGATATAAACTACAGTAATACATTCTTGAAAGCTTGGCAGGGTTTTCTCTCTCTCCTTGTTACACCCAAACATTTGAGTTTCTTTCTAATGTTTTCTTCTTTTCCTGAACTTAAATCATGTTTTTCTAACTGCTACGATATAGTTTCTTCTAAGGTCATCTCTTTGGTTTTCTATATGATAAGTTATTCTACATCCTATATTTATATTTAATTTAAACATGTTTGCAAATTTCCATTTAATATTTTTTCTGGGTTTTCTGTTCTTGTTTTTTATTATTACTATTCCTATTATTTTTGTATTATTTTTTTCTTATCCTTATCTAGTTCCATATAATTATGTACATAAGTAGAAAATGTTGTCTTTGCAAAGGATGAATCCCTGCAGGAGAAGAGCTTGTTAAAGAACAATGAAGGTCATGATATTGGTATTGACAGAGAATAGATGTGGCCCATTATAGCAAGAAAGCTTGAATCATGACTAGAAACCTAAACAATGACAAAGAAATCTGGAACAGCATTACAACATGGCAGTTAGCTAAGTAATGCAGCAATTGATCTTAAATGGCAGTCCTCCAAACAAATTACAGAAAAAGAAAATAGAATTACAGGGATTTCAAGAGAATGAGTGCTTTAAAGACACTCATAATTGTGGCGCTCGATAATGCCATTGAACAAATAAAACCTGGCAAAGCTGTTTCAGTGAACACTTGAAGGGAACAACTAAAACAGGAAATGGCTTTTGGAACTATTCAACCATTGTATAAATATGGTCAAACTTATAAGACATGGAGATAAGAGATAGAGTATTGCTGATTTTGGACAAAAATCTTAAGATCCAAAGAATCTTTGGCTAACTTCCCTCCTATGACTTTTAACCATATTTTATAAATGACTCATAATAGTATGAGCTGAATTTTAACCCTCCAAAAATCACATACCGTATTGGTTAAATATTGAATACTGAATTTGATTAGAGAAGTAACCATATCAAGACACAGTGTTTGTTGAATTCTCAACAACACGTGATATTATTAATTACTGATGTTGATTGGAAGGTATAATGTCTCTAATAGATTTCAAAAAAATATAAATAACCAAGCCACTCAAAATGATGTCTAGCTGTAGCTTAAAGGCAAATACAACTGATCCATATTTAACTGAATATTTACAAGGAACGGTAGTGGCACCATTCATCTTTAACATTTAGGTATGAATGATTGGTCCACTTACCCAAACAAAAGAAGCTTCATATGTTGATAATCTAGTAGTAGAAAGATTACAAAGAAACCTAACTACAGAATTAAAAAGAAAAACATAATCACATATCATGCTTCAACAAACTTTGATCAATACATGTAAGATTAAGGTCAGTCTCTTTCACAGAACAATCAAGACATAAATGAAACTGGCAAGACACGTGATTGAAACACAGCAAAAATCGAGGGGAATGACCCTGGTTCATAGACCATCATTAAACAGGGAAATTAAGAAAAAAAGATCAGTGGTCCAAAAAGCATAATCCCAAAGCTAGACACATCTAGGTCCAAAAAGCATAATCCCAAAGCTAGACACATCTAGCAACCATGAGAAGTGAAGCCTTGGTCTTCTATACATGCTGTATCACAAGCCAAGTGTGGAGCACTCCAGGGGAGAAATGTTGATCCATTGTTGAACAATAGCTGCCAAAACATCATAGGAACTTCTGTCACTAAGCGATGCAGTTGTTAACTAAGTCATCATGTGTAATGTAACACCTGATGTTAGATTTTTTTTGCTGTGGTAGTTAAGGAAATTCGGCTTCCCATTGACTTTGCTTGCCAGATGCTGGTTAGGAAATTCACAAATGACAACTGCATGACCTCATGGCACTGCAACTGTCATAACAAAGATGGTATGTGCAAGTAACAGTTGTAAATTATTTTTTTCAGTACTGTCATAACTTTGAATTGTCACTAAATGAGTGATAATAAGGCACAGTAATTAAAGTGCAATATTGCAGGCAAACTCTGCCCACAGCCTGGAATTCGATTCTGATGGAGCTCATGATTGATTCAGCCTTCCATCCTTCCAAAGTCAGTAAAATGAGGTCCCAGATTGTTGGGAACAATATGTAAATAATGCTTCTACACTGTAAACAACCCAGAGCATGGTGTAAAGTGCTATGGGGCAGTATTAGCCGAAATGCTATTGCAATTGTTATCTGTATATATGCATATTTATATGCTGTAATAGTTTCTTGAGACTTCTAAACTGTACTCAATAAAACTGAGGGAAAACTATAATCTAAAGAATGCTACATGTATCCTCTACATAACAGCACCATGGAGTGGAGCTATTTGAGATCCTGCAAAAGCTTACTTATTGCAACAAATATATGGAACAAATATATTACATGGAAAGAAATATTATTAGATGAATGGGTGTAAGAAGACATAGCAGTGTAATTTCCCACTGAAATAAATTTCTTGCTTTTAATTTGCAAAGGACTGTGATCCTTTCTTCTCTATGGTGTTGTCCAGATGTGCACAGGTCTCATAATTTTCAGCCAGTATAACCAGTAGGAAGAGATAATCTACATCACACTGTGATATGGAAAGCCATATTAGATGGGACTTTTGGCATTAATAGATTTATAAAAGAAAGAAGCCTGGTTTAATTTAAGGAGAGAGAAGGAAGAAGTCCTGCCAAGGTAATTAAAAGTATTACTGAAAACATGTAAAGGGACATTAGAAATTGGTGTCCTAGTTCTACTCTCTGTGTTACTTTTTCTACCTCCCCTGCTCCAAAAGGTGTTTGTTTATTAAAACACTTCCTCAGTAGATGCAGAAAATAAAATAAAATAATCTCACAGGTCAAGGGTTCTAACTGCACCAGTGAATGTTAAACTCTATATCAGGTGTCCCCAACATCTGGTCTGCAGACCGGCACTGGTCCATGGTCAACCAGGAACCAGGTGAGTGAAGCCCCAGGAACCAGGTGAGTGAAGCCCCATCTATGCATGTGTGGGATCCAGGCAATGTGCAAAACCATGCCCCTCCCCAGTCCACAGAGACACCACCCTCTATGGAACCGGTCCCTGGCACCTAAAAGGTTGGGGGCTGCTGCTCTATTCTATGTTAGGAACAGGCATGGTAATCAAGGGGAAAGGTAATATGGAAAGGTGAACATAAAAGGCATTAATCTCTGCATCTTTTTTTGGCAAACAATGCAGAACTGACTAGGCCTTTTTGGTCTTCTATTCTATTTTTCTCAAAGTATCCAATCATTTCTATCTTCTATCTTCTGTTTTCTTCCATTTTTGGACTTGCCAGAAGTGGCATTAGTTTTGATTACATGTACATATTCCCATCACTCTGAAATCGTCCGATTTCCTACACTTCCCCATCTGGGATGGGTGGAGAGTTCCATGGGAACAGTTTCCTACTGATGTCTCCCTTTGGGAATTATAGGGAGCTGCCGGAGAGATGATTGTAGAAAAAATGTCCTTTCTGTCCCTTGGAATTAAAGACGAGCAAGAATGCAACAAATCACAAAGACAATATTTCCAAAACTCTCTTGTCTTTGAAATGCTATTTCACCAAAAATAATTTTTTTCTGAACAATAGATTAAACAGATCTTTTTTGTTAACAATTTGAGTTTTCAGCTGACTTTGAGGGAGCTCACCCCTTCCTTAGTTTGTTAATACTATATAACCAGCCTCTTTTGAAAATCAACTGTCCAATTATAGAGTCCACTACTGTAGTATTTTTGTGAATGGACTCCTCCCATCGCTGTTACAATGACCACATGAGTTGACCATTTGCTTAGGCACAATAGGACAAAAATATCTTAACGAGCTGTTTAAAGAAGATGGAGTAAGCTCCCCCCCCCCTTCATCTCCTGAGCTTGGGCTGAGATTCCCTGGTGAAGAAAAGCTTAGAAATTGATTGGATGCTGCTTACAGCCTCTGAAGTTTTTAAACCCTGAGGTGTTAACTCTTACATTTCCCTGCCTTAAACTCTAGGAAAATCAACCCAACCTGCCCAAAAAACGGGTGATATTCCTGACCAGGAAAGTTTTTGCCATTTCTCTGTTCCTGGTTTTTGTCAGATTGTGATGGGAGAGTCTAACCCTTGAGTGACCTGCTTTTAATGAACTTCTCAATCAGTACCCGTGAGTGAATTGTGCTTTCCCCTCCCTTTCTTTCCTCCTTCCCTCCCTTCCTCTCTCTCTCCCTCCCTCTCACACACACTACACTTGCTCATTCACAGCCTGCTTTATCCATAGTCAAAGGAAAGATCAGCTTCTCTGCCTTGAGTAGCACAGACGTGGTGAGAACATTCAAAGAGAAGAAAGTGAACTGCGAGGAAGTGGGGCAGGGGAACGGTTGGAAACACAGGGAGTGCAGAGGAGACTATAGTTTCTAGAGAGGGGGAAGGAAAATCAGAAGACCCCTTGCTTTTTCCTGAGCAAAGGTGAAGCCAGCTCTGACAACTCATCACTGAATCTGAAGACCGTTTAACAGAGACAGGAGATTTTGCAACTCAAAGTAAGTTTTTCTGACTTAACTTGTTTCTGACTGTAATATGGTAAGCCACCCACCCACACATAATTTCACATAAAATTGCTACTTGGAGAAAGGCAATGAATCAAAAGAAGCTAAGTACTCCTAAGGTAGTATCTCTGTTCATCTGTTTCCATGGCTGAAGAAAGTTGATGAAGCAGGTAAGACCCGAGAGACTTCAGAATATCTGTTTTTGTGGGGGGGAGCAAGGATGACATTTCTTATTTTTGTGAGGATGGGTACACTATCCCCTTTATAATTACATAGTGCTGAGCATTTTATTTCAAGTAATATGAGCAGCATTCATCAACTCAGGAAGGGTCTTTCTGGTGACCCTTTTTCCTGTTGTCCTTACTGAGGGAATCATAAGGAGTAAAATATATGGAGTTGTATCTCCTTCTTAAAGGATTCAAGAGTCAATTTAAAAGTAGAAAAGAGGACCCAAATCCCCTCAGGATTGCCTCTCGAGCCCCTCTGGGAAGGGAAAGGAGAGTTGGTGATGATGTGGAAGACCCTGATTGTTACCATTTCTTCTTTGAAGAGTGATTGTCCTTGTGTCAGCACTAAACAGAGAGCAGAGCATTGCATACTTTTCCCCAAGTACCAGCTAGTGTTAATCACCTTTGCTTCTGCTTCATTGAATATGCTCACATTTATGACAGGGACAAGACTGCAGATTACTAGGGCCAAAATGAGTTTTTCTAGCGTGAAAAGTCTGCAAATGCACATTGTTCTGCTTCTTTGACTCTACATTTGTGAATTTAATTAAATCTAGATTAATTTTTTTACAAGGTTTATTTGGTGTCATCCTTTTACTTATGTGATAGTTTCCAACAATTTACTCTAACAGAAAATAGTGCTTTCTAAACATTTTTTTTAAATGAAAGGTGCCAAGCTTTCTTGAAAGGACTTAAAGTAGCCTGCATGATGCTTATATTGTGTTTAGATGGATGTTCCTCATCCCACAACCTTGGGTTTATTTTTTTAAACTTTTTAACAGCTGTGACATTGTTAATTGTATGCTGCCATAGTCACGTTCAGTGAGGTGGGCGACCATATAAATTTGTTAAATAATATATGTTTATATATGTTTGTCATTTGCTATGGAACTGCAAATGGTATAGAGGAATAATGGCAGACTGTACGGAGTTTCAATATGGTTGCTGCATCATGTGTCTTCAGACAATATCCTGGGATTTTGTGATATGGAAAAGTCTTTAAAGTTCCACCTTTAATTTTAACAAGGGAGTAGGAAACTATAATCTCACTATATCTCTGGCCATCCTTTTCCTTTTCCTGTTTTAGGAAATGGAACTTTTGATTTGGTTCCATAATTTCAGTACAGAATAGGATGAAAAGAGAGACCAGGGAACAGGAGTAGAACACAACCTCTCGGCCTCCATTGCTTGCATCAAAGGCAAAGTTGAGTTCCGTGAATTCCAATTTGTCAGTTCCAGTTTATGTGATGTAACTATTCCATGTTTGTCAAGAAAGCTGATGTAAGAAATGATGACTAATGAAGGCTGGACAATGAGTTGAATGCTTAAATGTAAAACGTGTGTTAATTTTTAAATGTAAAAATTAATTCCATGGAATTAACGATAGCTAAAATGAATTATTGCTCACAATGATCAGATACCTGTGGCTTGAACAACATATATGGATTCAACATCCTGGCTGGAGATCCAGGCGTCTTAGTTGCAAATGGTCTACACCAAACTTCAGATCAGTTTGGAATCCATTTAAAATTGTATTTGTGGGACCATTTGTTTACCATTCTTCATTCCTGGCCTGCAACATTTTTAGAATTTATACAGCTAGATCCCTCCCCTCCCTTTCTCCCTTTCTCCCTCTTTCCCTCCCTCCCTCCCTCCCTCCCTCCCTCCCTCCCTCCCTCCCTCCTTCCTTCCTTGCTATATTCAGTGAACAGCAAATACATGAACAAGATATAAATTAAAAATCTGATCTGATTTTCAATCAAAATTAGAGTTTACCTATGTTATAAATGTATGGCATTGGTATGTCTTCATTATTTTACCTAAAGATGCACCTGCATGTATCTGCATTTGATATCCTTTTACAAGATATGCCCCCCCCCCCCCCCGAAGTATGGCTGAAGGCTCATCGCTGCAAGGCTGGTAAAACATTGTGGACAGGGCCAGGGGCATGTCCTTACTTTCTCTTCCATGCTTCATCTTATCCTGCCTTTTTGAGCTCAGTTGATAAACAATAAAATAACATGTGACAAACATTGTACCTTCTCATTTGCATGCTTCTGTGAGTCTCATGAGATATACTGTAGTACTAAAATCTGGAGATTTCATCTCTTTGCTTTTAATTAAATTTTAATCAAAAATCTAGGGAATAAACATGATTTGTCATGTTTATAGTTTAAATCTCATGCCAGAGATTTAAAGTTTATAGTTAAAAAAAGATGTAAATCACTGTTTCATTTGGAGAGAAAACCCTCCTTTCTCCTGTGCAAGGATAGCCTCAAACAGACATTTGCTTTTCTCCCCTTTCATTACAAAGTGAAATATGTTTAATAATAATAACAGAACCATCATTTGGCATGGTGTATTACAATGCATTGAAAGTTTTTAAAAGTTTATGGAGCAAAAGTTCATCTTTTTTATTTAGATTCAGGGAGAATTCAGTCAGACTTCAGGCCTGGATATGGAACAGAAATAACATTGGTCACATTTTTAGATGATCTCGGGTAGGAGTGAGGTGATCCATCCTTGCTTTTGTTGACCTCTCAGCAGCTTTTGATACCCTTTACCATGAAATCCTTTTGGGCTGACTTAGCTGAGGTTGGGGGGGAGGTGAGGGGAGACACAGTTTTATGCTGGTTCATCTCCTTCCTCTGATTCCAATCAGTGTTGATAGGAGCAAGAAGTCCATCCCACAATGTTGTAGGGTCCCACAAAACTCAATGATTACTCTGTTCTTTTTTTAATATCTACCTGAAACCACTGAGTGAGATCATTCATCACCATGGATTGAGATGTCATCAGTATGTTGATGATACAGTTATACACTAATTCCTGGGTGAACTAAGTGATACTTTACATATACATGTTCTTTCATGGTGTCAGGAGGCTTTGGGGAGTTTGGATGAAGAACAGCAGGCTTCAGGTGTTCTCTGGTAAGACAGAATGGCTGTGAGGTGGTAGTGGGGGCTCATTTCTACTTGGATTTTTATCCAAGTAGATGGAGTCGTACAGTCCCAGACAGAACTGACAAGTAATCTGGGGGTCCTTCTGGACTCACAACTCCTGCCTGGAGAGCAGGTGGCAGTCATGCCTAGGAGGGTCTTTGGTCAACTGTGTTGTGCGTCAGTACACCCCTTCCTGATTGGGAGGCTCCTAGTCACTTACATGCTGTTCATCTACTGCTTGAACTGTTGCAACATTTTACAGGGGGCTAGCCAAATGTACCCATAGCTGTTCTGGGACTGAGATGGGCAGTCTCTAAAATCTGGAAGTTTCAGCTGGTACAGAAGGTGGCCGTGTGAGCAATTTTGGGCACCTCAAAGATTGTGCAAGGTGCATTGGGTGCAGGTCTGTTTGGGCCAATTGGGCCAATTCAAGATGTTAATTATTACCTTTAAAGCCTTATACAGCATGGGACCAGGTTAGCTGTGGAATTGTCTTCTCCCCATTACATGGCACATCCCACCCAACCAGGCAGAAAGGGCATATTGTGGACCCTGTCAGTTAAATAATTTCAACTGGTGGGATCCAGGAAGAGAGCATACTCTGCCATTGCCCCTGCTGTTTGGAAAATCCTTCCTCCAAAGGTGAGGTGGGTCCTCACTCTCCCGGTCTTTCAGAAGAATTTGAAGACTTGGCTCTACTGACTTGTCTGGGGCTCCCAGAGGAACATGCAACCTTGGGGCTGCTAACCTTGAAGACCCTTTCCCTACTTTTATCTTTTAACTTATTCCATCCCTGTTTTATCTGCCTCCTTTTGCTGAGACATAGTATTTTAATATTGTTTTTATGTTTTGATGTTTTAAACTGTACACTGAACATAGCCATTTTGAGACTGAGATGGGCAGTCTCTAAATTTGACAAATAAATAAAAAATATGTATTAGCACATGTAAGCTAGGAAGACCATAGTAATGGGGATAACGTCTGAAGGCCTGAGGCTTTGTTTCAATTGAGAATATCAGATAAAAGATTAGGACAATATCTATGGATTAATAAGTAGTTTTGGGGGTGGAATATTAAAAAAAATCAAGACATCACAATGGAAATGTTTCCAAGATTTTTTTTTTCTCATTCCCATCAAATCCATAATGTGGGAAGATCAAACTCTAACTAGCATTTACCATTTACTCAAGACATATTTAACTTATAGATAGTCCTCAACATATGACCATTTGTTTAACTATGGTTCAACGATGGCTTCAGAAAAAGAGCTTTATATGACCTGTACCCACACTTATGACCATTGCATTCTTATGACCTCTATTATGTGATCACAATTTGGGTACTTGGCAATTGTCTCAAATTTACCACTGGCTGCAACAACCTATGGTCATGTGATTGTGATTTGCAGCTTTTTTTTGCTAGTTTCTGGCAAAAAAACGACAAAAAACATTCAACGAGGAAGCTGGATTTGCTTAATGACCACGTGATTCACTTAAAAACCACACAATTCACTGAACCACATTGATTCACTTCACAATGACTGGAAAAATGGTAATAAAATTGGGTCCATCATGTGATGACTCCATTTACGATTATGCTGACTTAAAAGCAAAATTGTGGCCCCAATTGGGGTTGTAAGTCAAGATCTACCTGTACTTTTGAAAATGAATGAAATGGTTGGAACATTTGGGAGTTTTTTATTTCTTTTTCATAAACACTTCCTCTATTGTCAAATCAGAATTTTCTATCTAAAACACGGTACACATCAGACAGATAATTGGGCAGTGGGGGATACCTTTGTATAGGTTGTTCTTACTTTGCAGCA